GAAAGAATTTAAGAAATCATCAGCCTACCTGGAAGCAATCAAAATACCGTATTAATAACGTTTCACTTGTAACTATTGATTCTCACTCAACCACGTTTATTGTCTAAATGGATGATATGATACGATGTCCCTAATTTCAGGGCAGAATAAAGCACAGTATCAAAAACCTCAATTAAAAAATTCTGCAGATGTAGATATCACAAACTCAAATACATAGGAGCTGGTACTTGGTTTTCTACACACTTACTTGTGCTCTGCACAGACACCGAGGCAAGTTTGACACATTTCACATGTTGGGCCTTGGAATTTGGGATCTGTACAATTGCAGGTGCCACATTCACAGGTTCCTCTCCCATTGCAGATCTGCCCATTAGATGCCATACACGGAAAAGTATCCAAAGAACAATCGCATGCACTACCAGTGAAGTTGGGGAAACACTCGCACACTCTGCATTTGCAGATACCATTTCCTGTGCATTGAAAAGATATTTCAGTGAAATGAAGTCTTACATAAAACATAAGATTTGTGACAGTAAGAAGAAATAAATGTTCACCGTATCAGGATACAGGGAAAAGAAAACCTAGGTGGAGAGATAATGAAGACACCAATGATTTAAGAGCTACAAAATAAATTTTAGCTCCTCGAAAAAAATTACTTAGAGGAATTCCTCCCCTATTCCCATTCTTCTACATCTAGATTTCCTTTCATAAACAAAATAACAAGACTAGTGAAAACTGATCAAGAACAATATAATGTGATAGCCATATCTCCTGGGTGGATAGCATTACAGCACTGCTTCAGTTCACAATTTCCTACGTATATAGATGCATTGATCACTACTGTCTTCATATCTACCACTACGTAAATTTATAAGGCAACATCTACAAAGATGAGGAATGCACTTTGACTTCACAACACAGGAAAACGAAACACCTTTGGCTTCCTAGAACACCACCATTCAGCTGCTGTACTTCTGACCTTATCCACCCAACCAAACTTTATGCTCCTTGCGCTCCCTACAGAGGAAACAAGATACCTGTATCTTCAGAAGGGCAATTTGGATGAAATGGAAGATCTTTAGCTACTATACTCAATGGAGAAGGAGAGAAAAGTGTTTAAGTCAACACTCATCTGCCACCATATATTTTGCAACACCACCACCATTGCTCCTATCCTTTGTGTAGCTGCTGAGCAACAGGTGTATTCTGAGCAGATCAGACAGATGAGGTATTCTCATAATTCAGTTAAAGCTTAGTGGTTTCTCTGTTTTATTCTCTATTTATTCTTTGACTGTATCACAGTCAAAATTGAGGTAGTAGTTACACTCCTGCCAGGCACCTCCACGTGCAAAGCAGCCTAGGGAAGCTATAGGACAAAAATACACGCAGCAAAATAATGTAGACACTGGCTGCTGGAGGATTTTCTAAATTGCTTTTGATTTTGTGAATTAACTGCCATCATAGTCTTATTTCAAGCACTTAAGGTGTTTTTCTGGATCTTGCAGGTTCTAATCTTCACTTACCTTTCAGAATAGTCTCAAGATAGCATCTCACTGGTATCTTGTCAAGCACCGAGTCAAGCACTCACTATTACAAGTAAGATGAGGTCAATTTCTCTTTTTATTGACGCAGTGGTTACACTGAGCCAGTACAACATTATAATCTCAGGCCAGTTGTCTCAGCATTCTTTACTATAATACCTGAGGGTAATTCTGTAATAAACAGAAGTCAAGTTCACTTTACATCCTTCTCGGAGCTGCGATTCAATGAAGGTGAAATGTGTATTAACACACTGTGTGTTCATGATCACAGAGAGCTGTTTTATTAATAGATATTTCAACCACTAAATCTGTGGATATTCTCATCTCTGTTATCAAGTAGCTAGGATCTCTAAGCTAAGTATAACTATTCTACAGGGTAGAGTTGACAGACTTGTAAACTGCTGGCCAGTTCTGCCCACAGAAAACTCTGAAGTAATTTCTCACCTCCACAAATCAAACCATTTGATCGATCACAGTTGAAGTTATCACATTCACAATATTTGCCAGAATACACTTCATTGGTGTTTTCTCTTTTCTTGCACACACATTGTCCACAAATGCATTCTCCATTGTTACTGCATATTTCTGTGCTGTTCTCCCTCCTGCAGTAAGCATCCATATCCTCACTATTTACTTCATCTGTACTACATTCACATAGTCTTCCAATACGTCCTTCATTACACCTGCAAGGTAAAAACATGACCGAAAATATAAACTTAGTTATAAGTCATACAATAAAAATACTGCAAAAATAGCACAAAGAACAGGAGTAAAAGTGATTATTATCTCAAGGGATATTCTGAGTTAAACTTCAAATGAGATTTCCAGCTGACATCTATGTAGCCATTCTTGAAGCCACTGGAGCAAACTGTACTAAGTTGCTCTTTCGCTGATAACTTGTTCCAGGTGAGAAACTATGTGTCACCACCTCTAACTAAATTGCCACATAACCACTATTAATCCCTCTCATGTGACTGAACAATAATTATTTTAAGTGACAGTGACTGTTCACTGTAGCTGCTGTCATCTTTCAATGAAAAGATTTCCCATGAACAGCAATTAGGCAGGAGAGTAGATGATCTTCAGAGCTGCTGAGCTGAGATCTTTGGGGATCAGCACTTCTCATTATCAAGGTTAAAATATCAATGAACAAAGGGAGGTTGTTCTTGTTCCCAGCAGTGATTGATGAACTGTTGTGGGGCGTCAACCAGAGACAATGCTGCCATTGGGAAACTTGCAAAAGCAAAAGGCTGTTCTTACCCATGGGTCTGTTCTTCCCTCTGTGAAATAATGGGGACACCAGTGCCACTGACACCAACTTTAATAAGTCTTTCTACAAAAATGGGAAAAATCTGCTCTCCTTATTTAAAGGGAACATCAAAAACTGCCTGCAAAGTGGAGCAATGCATCCAGTATTTAGAGCCCAAAGTGGCTTATTCCTCAACTTACAGAATACTGAGCAGTTAGAGCACCATGTCTCAGTCTTTCAAACACCCTGTTAACTGCCAGCAACAAATTCACCAGGCAGATGTTAGCCAGTTCAACAACAAAAGTCCTCTAAGACTGAACTCAGTATCTTTTGCTATATTTTTAATAATAGCCACATATCAAACCATGAGGAATGAGACTTACAAGTTTTATTTCAGTTACAGTTAATTGAGCAGGAACCAATATTGTTTTCTAAAGTCCTGGATCTTGTTTTCCTATAGAAATACTTAAATTCATTTCTGTTCTTACCATTCTCATCTCAAGCATTTCTAAGAAGAAGTTTTCATTTTTGCTGTAGGTTTCTTTGAGGAGAAAAAGAAAAAAAGGCGAGACCCTTGACTTACTAGGTTGATCTTCAACCAGTCTCCACTGAAACTCGAAGATCTTGCTTTGCTTTCATTGTATGTCATTCATTGTGTGTAATTCCAGAAAATCCAGCATCATTTTACTTAATTTTCAAATGTGTAATAAGGAATACACCCCTAATCTAATCCTATGATGGGCAATAATAGACATTTCAAAGGCATACGTATATAAAAAATTTATACATAGTCTGAAACATTTATCGATTAATCAATTAGAAGAAACATTGTAATAAGACCCCAAAAGTTTGAAATAAAGTAGGGAGAAGAGACTGAGGATGTCATCCAAAATAAAAGGTTGTTCTTTTACGACTTTTTACTCTTCCCTGATATGAAACAATTGGTGCCAATCTGGGTAGGAGCTCCTACCAAAAAAACTAGGAAGCCTTTGAATTTCTCAGTCAGCAGACCTCACATTAGGAGGATATAACTAGATCAGTATGAATACTTGCAAAAATATCTGAGATCAACGCCATTCATTTTATTCTACAAATCCATAATTTCGCTTCAAAATCAAATGAAGAAACAGAAAAAGCAGTAAGACCTATAATATTTAAAGGAATGACTCAAGGCCAAATTCCAATTCTGATTTGTACAATAGTGCCAATCTAATGATCAACATTATGAATTCCAGCATATGGATTATTTGCAGAGATAAGAGAGCATGTCAAAATATTCTAAAATAAACAAGCCTGTAATTCTTGTCCTTTCACTAAAAAAAAAAAAAAAAATAAATTAGTAAAACCAAACAAATTCTAATTAAAGAAACAAAGGTCTTGCTCCTATTTCCCTTTTGCAAAAATAAATAAAATGCCTACTTATTTACCTGCATGCACCACATTCGAATGTTCCATTTCCTTCGTGGCAGGCTGGACTATTAGGTTCTCCTTCACTTTGACACTGACATTCACAGATGAACTGGAGATTAATTTCCACTTCTTCAGTGAATCCCAGTGGTTTAATTTTAATTGTTTCATTTTGTCCTTTCTTTGGACATTCATTAGCTGTTACATTAATCTCAAATTTAACCTGCAAAGAAAAATAAATGGAGTGAAATACTACTTAAAGGAGTTCTGTCTGTAAAAAAAATACCAAGTGTTGGACATTTTAAATGAATGTGTGTAGCAGCATATATACTGTAAATTACCTCATCTCCAATTGAAATGTTAGAACATTTCCTTCCATCTTCTTGTGTGTCATTCACTCCATTCTTGCAGAAAGACTTATAACTGATTGTCACTCCTTTTGGTAGCTTACTGTTTTCTAGGATAACCTCTGAAGAAAGGGACTAAAACAACAGTTATTAGCTAACTTCTAATTGAGTTGCATAAGCATTTTGCTGATGAAAAGAGATTATACAACTATGCATAGTCTAAGTACCAATCCCATGGAATACACAACGGAATTATGTACTTCCAACACCATCCCAGGGCTGCCCATAGTGACCCCTTCTCATGGCTGAACCCTGTTATACAGGGTCAGGGCAGGTCTCTACAGACATCGGAGGCACTGGTTTGCCCCACATTATCCAAAGGAGAAATTGGACTCCTTTACACAACACAGCCATGAAGAAAATATTTGGGGGTCAAACCCAGCAGTCCCAGAGGCTGATGTAGACATTTTCTTTGGGGTCAAGAGGTTGCAAAATGGCCCTTTTCTCTTCCACACGGAAGGAAGGCAAAGAACTGAAGATGCTGAAGAAACAGTGCATTTTGTTTTTTTTTAAAAAGGGAAAACACAACTGACAGCATTTCCTTTGTACTTGTGTTTTAAGTGGCTTTAAGAGCATCTTTCTAGTCATCTAACCTTTTCTTGTCATAGTGTCTATACGTCTAATGTGAATTTATTGCAATGGTTGCATATTTAACAACTTTCTATTTTGAAAAAAATAAAATCCACCTTGTGAGTATCTGCCTGAAAAACTCGTAACAACTTAGAAAAAAGAAAATGAATACAACCCAAATAAAATCTGAACTTACATTGTACGCATCAATGATCAGCTGAATCACATTGCTGGAGTTTGAAGACAATGTTCCCACTGCAGATTTAGGTATCAGGTTTTTCAATTCCTTTCAATATTTACAAAAGTAAAATGAAAATTACAGCTTTACTAACAAAGTATAATTTGTAGTACAAGTATCTGTTGGGTGATATAATGCTTTAGTGGATTAGTCAAGACCCAGTACTTCAAAAAACAAGGCTAAACTGTTGCCAGTGTTCCTCAGGATTTTTGAGGTTATACATAGCACTACTAGTATAAACAAATATACAGCCTTTTCTCTGCCGCGTTTTCACGTTAAATTTGGTAACAGAATCCTAAGGCCTTCTCTTGCACAAGTTGACTACACACAGTATATGTTCAAGATCTTAAAGAAGCAGCGCCACACTTCTAGTGCACTAAAGATAGGCAGATAAAAGATAGTTTCCAATTTAAAAGAAAAAACTTAGAATCTGAATATAAGTAAAAAAAGAAAAATACCTTGTCGGTTAAAACGAGGAAAAATATGCATCTCTTTTACACAGTAATTTCCTATTTCACAATAGCAGCTTTGTTAATTTTAAACATCAGGAATATAAACAGACCACAAAGAACAAAATACGCTCTTTCATAAGTGTGTCTCTTGATTCAGTGTCCACACCCCCTTCAGCTATTTTGCTGTAAAAACATTCATAAAAAATAGCACTTTTTTCTCTTTCCTACCTATAGAGAGAGACAAGGAGGAGGGGCACTTTCTCCTTGGAAGTTACATGTGCACTCAGTATCAATCTGAACAAGTCGAGAAGGCTTAATCACAAAAACATGAATAGCAAAATATTAATTCCACAATCACTTCCATACTTCTTTTAATTTCAAATCAAGAAATTTTAATGGTTTCAGAGCACATCTGAGTCAATCTTAGTGCCTGAGGGAAAGAAGTACAGAGACCAGAAATATGTGTTATTTATCTTTACCTTATAAACTGCCTGAAACTCTTCCGTAACAGCAAAGATTGTCTGAATATTGTTCTCACTGAGTTTCTGTACCAGATGAGCAATAGAAGGATAATCCTGTAAAAAACAAGCATAAAATACAATGCAAATTTGGGACACATGCTAGAAAAAAATCAAAAAGATTTTGACATCATAAACACAAATCACCTTTAGGAACATATGTAAGATTTCTGACTATCCAGCTTATGTTACAGCTCTAAAGAAAAACAATCCCTGCAAACAAACATGCCTTGAAAAGATTCCATATATGCCCCATGAAGACAGGTGTCGTTCAGAAGGGACTACAATAACATTATCTTATTCCCTGCCATTTAAAGTCTCCAAGTTAAATCCTAATCTCAATGTTCTCAGAAAATTACCTTTGGTAGTTTTCCATACGAAGTGAAAACCACTACCTTTTAAACTGTTTCATAAAGAAAAGATCAAATAAAGCTAAATTAATTTTAGGTTGTTATTGAACAACACTCACTTAACTTTAGAAATGTATGAATACAAAAACTTTGTAAAGCTTATTGTGTTCGCCCCATCCAGTATATGTTTTTCTTTTCACCTTTTTTCTGATCTACCTATCAATAAACCATTAAGGCAATGCTGTTAAGCATATTTTTATCATAAACTTTGCATCATAAGATTTCAAGCAGTCTTTAAAAAACTGACAAGAAGCTCTCTATTTTACAGTATTTTTTACACTAGTAAAATACTTCTGAACACAAAGACTAGTGAAAAGACAAAATAATGGGACAGAGCCACCACATTTTGTCAGTAGACTTGCATGATTAATAATTATTAAAAAGGTTCAAATCCAACAACACAAATCATAGTGTGAAAGCTGCAATTGCTTGACATTTTCCAATTAAGACTGAATTAATTCTTGCACATTTGCTCTAGTTAAGCTAAAGTCACTTGAGGTAATACAGAGGTAAATGGGTAAAGTTCAAAAGATGTAGCAGCCTGAAACCATATCAGATGACCTAATGAGGTTTTTTGAGCTTAAGTATCAGAAAATATTAATCTCCCTAGAACATAATGTAAAGACTTACATAATAGTGGCTCATTGTGTACATATTATTTTCCAGGTGACATTTCCCATCATTTGGTAAAACAATTCCACCAAGTTTACCATCTCCTGCAAAGTGAAATCCAGCATCCGTGGAAAACACTAATAGTCTTGTAACATTTCTCCAGCCAATTTGTTCCTTGAGAAACAAACAAATGGTTTTTTAGTATTTTCCACTGATCTATTTTATAGCAATGGGAACTGACACTTGAGAGATACATGCATGAAAAAGTAGACAGACTTAGGAGAAACCATACTGTAAAAGCGTCACCCTGGAAATCATATAATTCACTCAAACCTTAAAAAGCACTTCCATTTAATTAAATGTCTGCTCCAAAACATCTGCTGTAGGTTTTTCACCAAGGCATGAAACATTCTTTGAGACGTACTTTGGTCTGTTCAGCTCTCACTAGAGTATCTGAGTGACAGGGTTTTAGAAATGGGGCACGTCAGTTCAGGTCTGAAACGCCCCCAAGTCCACTTCTATGTCACTACGCCACAGCCTGAGCACAGAGGACAATGTTACTGTGTGAAGCACTACTGCAATCTTGAACTGGAAGACTGTGGCTTGCTCAGAGTTGGGCTCTGAAAAATCACCAGGCTTTGCCTATCCAGTCCAGATTCAGACCCAGGGCAGTGCTTGCCAGGAGGACTGCCCTTTTTCACTATCCCACCAGCATCCTGGCCCACAACTGCAGGGCCTAATTCTGTAACCTGCCCTTTCCTATTTTTTTTTTTTAAATTCTTTCAGTTAATTCAGTTAATTTAAGGGGAGAAGGCCATATAAAAAAAGCCACATGAATATCAGTTACCACAAAAAATAAAAACCAACAAAAAGCCCCAGAAGGCTTATGATTAACAGTGTACTTTTAAAATAAGACTCCAGATTGTTTCAGAAAGTCCCAACTCCATTGATCAACAGCATAATAATATGTTAACAAAGCAGTAAACTTGGATATCAGTTTTTTGGGAGTCCATGTTGTACAGGTGCACAGAATGGTCTGTCAGACTATGGAAACATCAAAGAAGAATGCAGTGATCTAGATCAGATCTTCAAAAATAAACAAAAATCAGGTTTCTATCTACTTCTGTCTGAGAAGCTAGCAGAAGTTACAATTCACCAAACTATTCTGAAACAACAGCTACAAGAAGCACATAAAGCTTTGAAGTAATTTGAGAATAGTGCTTCCTCAGAACTTCATACACTTTCGAGCAGAATTTTTACTCTTATGAGAAAACTTTAAAAACTTTGCCTTTGGAATGCATCTGTCTGCTGTGAACATGACCTCTAATCAGCACTTTCACATTTCCGGGTTTCACTCACTCACTAGAGGTCTCTACAAAAGACAAATGCTTCCATGCATTCTGCCTAGTCTACCATGTCTTGCGAGCATGAGGTGACATGTTCAAACGTCAGTGACCATAAAACACTAAGGCTGTGTTCAAATAATTTAATCTAATAGAGCAGTAAAGAAAACCAATACACACTTACCCCACAAACTGCAACCTGCATTATTGCATCAAATCCACCTTCAGGAGAATCTAAATTCCCAGAAATGTGCTGTTTACCTACAAGTTCATTGAATTTATTTCCTTCACTGGTAAGGCTGAGCACATTTTTATAGCTAAATGGACTCGTACAGTTCTGGTCACCTGTACAAGGATTTCGGAGTTTGGCTGGTGTTGTACTGATATATGGCATCACAGTTTTCTCCACAAAAGAGCCAAAGCCTAAGACAGAGCAATAAAAACCATTTAAGTTGAAGAATGTAAGTTTCTTATTTATATTAAATGTAAGTCTCTTATTTATATTATGACACAATAGAATGCAAATGCATTATAGGTGAACTGACATCAGAAATAACTCTCACACTTGTTTACTTTCCACTTTCTCCATCAACACCAGATACTCTTAAGTTCCTCAACAGGTTCTATGTATTAAAATATCTCTCATAATACCGCTAATTTTGAACAAAAGTACTTTTCATACATAATCATGTGAAAAACATCAGGAAGGAAACTTGATTTTTTTTTTTTTTTTTAGAATAGGCAAATCTTTCTTACCAATTCGAAAGTCTGAAGTTATTTTTTCCATTTCTAACATCAGAGCCGTTCCGAGACTTTTCACATTCTCTAAGTCATCTTTCATAGAATAGGAGAGATCCATAAGATAATACAGATCAATGGGGTAGTCTTCAGCTCTCTTAAATTTTAATGAAAATGTTTGAGGTTCGCCTGTTTCAGAGATTAAACAACAAATAAAAACCACTAAAAATTCTGCAACTGCATTGACAAGAAAGATGCCTTTTTAAGGAAAGTCTTTGAAATACTAATGGAGGTTTTGAACTAGAGGTGATTTTTTTCTCCCATTAACTGAAATGCTTAACATCAAATCAGGAGCGAAAAAATTTCAAGTATTTATTTCAAATGTCCAACTTTATCTTCCTATAGAAAATACTAGCCTGACACAAATCATGTCTCTCTTAGTTGCTGTAAAATTTCAAATCTTCATACTTCCAATAATTTTAACAAGGTTCCTGTAAGATCTAATAGCACAAATTTTCAGTATCTATGTGCATTCAAGATGACTACAAAAATTCTCAGGGTTTAGTTTAAAAAACATAAAATGTTTAAATAGGTTTATAAAAGAAAAATCAGTTCTGGGTGGAATATTTCAAGTTACTTCGCATCAAATACAGGCTAAGAGCACAAAAATGGCAGTGAGATAATGGCAAGTTACTATTTGTTGCAATTGTAAGCCCAAACTCCGAGTTTTGCCAACAGAAGCATGTAGTGTCACTCTGATGTTGAAAGACACTGCAGAAGAATTACACCACCACCCCGCCTACCACCCTCTGGGAAATGGAAAAGTATTCTTTTGCCTATTATATATGAATAAGGAATAGAATTAGAAGTTTTTTCCCCCCCACCCCCCTCAGTCACTGAAGTTAAAAGTGATAAAAGATATTGCTGCTGCTTAGGTCTGCTTAATAACTAGCTAGTACTTGTTTAATATGAGCAAAATTAGATAGGCAAAGTAAATAGCACATAGATCATGCAGCTATGCAGCACAGTTTTCACAAAAAAAAAAAAAAAGAAATATCAAACCCAAAATGCAAAAAAAAAACCCAACCCAAACCTAAAAGCTTTAGATTTTCCTTAGCTACTGTTAAAGAGAGCCTGCACAGAAAGCAAGTATCCCCCTCTGCAAGCATGCAGTCCCTCATCAGAGAACTCAGGAGCAAATGAACTGCTTATAAACTTATAATCTTTTAGATTAATAATCTTTTGGGTAATCAGATTCTTGTTGCCCAGGTCCCTCATGTGTTCTGATGAAGAAAGTTCTGTGTCAACAGAGGGACAGTAATTTGGTTTGAAGCTGAAGGGGTCACAGTAGAAATAAAGAGGAGCAATACCAAAATTGTAAAATAACTTTCATTCCTTTCCTTTCTTCATCACGCTAAGCTTCTTCAGATCATCTTGCATTTATTAAGGCAATCACTGCCAAGCAGCTGACACCGAGTACCGGCTCTCATTCCAAGCAAATACAAGGTGGTTGTTGAATGCGTCTGCGGTACCTAGGAACTCTCCTTAAGGACAATCTCCATTATGCTCAAGTACTGTATGAGCTATTAGCCCTGGCTTTTTTTCCGCTTCATTTGAACGAAATACAGTTCTCTTTAGAGGGTGGAAATGGTGCACAACTACTTTCTTCTCATTACTGTAGTCCACATCTGTAGCCTCTGGAAAGTATTTTATGCAGCAATCCAAAAATCTTGCTGCATAACTACAAAACCATTCAGTTCAGACACGCAGACTTTAGGCAACAGCAGTACTTCAAGGAAAATGAAATGCTCTTGTAAATTCTCTAAGTTTTTGCACGCTCCTCCACTTCCATTCCAAGAAGCCACACCATAGAAAATCAACTACAAAATACTGAAAACAGTTTTACCTTTCTGATGAATCAATGTATATGTATCTGATGTGTATGTATCAATCCATGCTGTATCTATTTTCTCATAAGTTCTATTGGGAACAAGTGATAGTACCTAACCTTTCATAAAAATCAAACAGTATTTGGAGTATCTAAACACCCGGGGCAGACCTGAATGGCTCTGCTATCACTCAGGTCATCTGAGCAATAGTAGTTTCTGTAATAAAATGGTTATGCATTCAAAACAAAAGATGCAGATGTGATGACAGAAAAATCATCCGAAGACTAGAATGAAACTATCCTTACCGACTCTTAGTTTCAGTACTAATTTTTGTGGCTGGATCTGTGTAATGGCCTCTGGTTTCAGCTTCTCTGCAGCACCTATCTTACGATTCGTTACTTCTCTGTCTTCAAGCACCTGTTTGCTACCTCTGGGATTTTCTATATCTTCCATAGGACAGCCTTTACTCTTTAGCGCTGCCAAGTCATCACATCGGGCAGATGTTGGTTCTCCTTCTTGCAAAAAGTCCTAGAAAACACATGCAAAAGAGTATCAAGTTTACAGCTATCTGCAATTTGTTACACTCTACCCACAATAATACTTTTTACAACTACTCCATCTTACTTTTTTTTTTTTAAATTTTGAAGTTCAGCAACAAACCACATAGTCCTGAAATATGTTCAATTACAATAAATACATCAGTGACTACTGTTTAGTCCAGGAGCTTGCACCTACTTATACTTATCCGTGTATAAGATGCAAGCAAGATAAAAGAAAAAAAATGCCCACTGTCACCTCTGACAGAAGTAGGACACCCTTTTAAATTGGCTGCTTTACAAGTGATAGCAGGTGGAAAAAGCTCTCATCTTCACATAGCCGTCAATAATGTGAACCTATTTGTACAGCCTACTTGGCAACTGCCCTCCCTTTTAGCTTTTTTTTTTCTCCAAAGGGCTTTAATTAAAGATTATGTAAGTGTACTTTGGCACTCCACAACAAAATAATGGCAATATGCTGACAGAGCAGGGGAAAGACAGAAGAGAACTCTTTTATTTTGGGGAAATTCAATCTGAAAGATCCATAAGAAAAACCAATACGTAACCTTGTTCTGAACAACAAATTACCATTACCTCAAACCTAAAAAAACCCTCTAGCCTGAAATATGAATAAAAAAGACCTCTAATGTAGAAACTTGACAATTCTGATTTTTTCACCCCCAAAATATGCATATGAATAAATGTATCTTAAAGCTTGTCAGTTCTTGATGACTAGGACCTACAACAAATCTGACAGCTGAAGGCCAAGTTTTAAAGTTAGTCAGCTTAATTAAATGTCTAAAGTTTTTAAGCTGGTTTGTGGGATAGTAAGTAGGTACTATACGGAAATAAATACACATCATCACGTTCTAGCAAGAAACAGGAAAATTTCCCAGTTTTCATTTCTAAGAAGAGCTGTAGAAAATATTTTCTTCTGTTTCTAACCTGAAGAAGACCCTTCAGCATATAGTGGTTAAGTCACAGTTTAATATTATCTTACATTTTACATTTCCTGAATTTAATTTTAAATTACATAAGAAAGCACGCTTTTTGTTTCATACTGAAACAAACAACCCATCCACACAAATCAATCTCCTACTCCCCCAAGTCTATCAACAACAGAAAACTAAAATTTGAACATCTTTCTTTTATAAAAGAAAACCTTCAATCTCTTCCTCTACTCTACCTATGTCTGTCTAAATTTACCTCTTACTCTAATGTCACTGCAAGAATATAATTAAACATACCCAGACAGATTCCATGCTGGAATGATTTTAAATAACTATGAGACAGCCTGTAAGGTCTGTAAACAGCTAAGATTTAAAAAAGTAGAAGTAAACACATTGTGAAAAGCAATTCTACTCAAACCAGGACATCAGGAAAAGCATAGTATCTGGATTGTTAAGTACAAATAAGTATCAAATTGAAGAGCTACAGGAAACTATTATGAATGAAAAGACATTTCTTTAGTTTTCTATACATTTAAAGTATTTACTAAAATCTGAAACCATGGGAAAAAGCCAAACCATAAAAGGAATTTTGCAACACTTACTGTTTTTTTACACCAACCACAGTTTGGTCCTGCTTGTATACATTCACCACATGATTTTGCATTAGCTTTTATGCAGTCACTTCCACCTAGCGAAGAACACAAATCTGTCACTTCATTTATAACAAGGTCCTAACAAAACCAGAATATTAGTTTGTTTCATTCTGTCTTTGTAAACTAAGTTCTAACTACAGACAGGTTATTAACATGAGATGCAATTGACATATTGCCATTAGCAGTTGTCTAACAACATATACTTATCTACATAAATAACTGCTAAATATATATAGTTTTAAAGCAACATTAACCTACTGCAATGAAATCAAGTGACTTACCTTGCTGAGCAAATCCATTCCATATCAAGCAACAGAGGACGCCAGCCCACGTGAACAATTTTAAATTAGTCTGAAATACATAAACAGAAGACCAAATTGTATGATTTTACGTATAAAGGTAAGCAAAAAAAAAAAAAAAAAAAGTTGCATGAAACTGCAGACATGTAATCGTGTCCCAGAGGAGACAAGGAACACGGAGCAGATGCAAATCAAATTATCTTAGTTGTATCAGGTTGACAGTTTTCCTCTAATACAACCATGTTTGTGGGCTAAACTATATTTAGAAGGCATCAGAGTAGCTTCTTAAATTATTTTCAAATATTCTTATGACAGGTAAACCAGGAAGCTATAAGAAATTTGGTAATGCTGTTCAGTTGGGGAGGGGGGTGAGGGGATGGAGGAGGACCCAAAACCATCTGTTAACATCTTCTAAAAAATATTTATGCTCTGAATGTTATCAGAGAGAGACTTCTAAATAAAGATGTCACAGAAATACAAGACAGAAATGGAGCTTCTCTGTTCAAGTCTCCGTTTAACAATGATAAACATCAAGGACTCTTCCAATATGTTTTCCTCTGAATCTTCAAAGGGCATTTTACAGCCTAACTTTGCACCTTATACACCAAACTAGAAACTTCCTGTCACAATGTGGAACATAAAGCATCTTTGATAGAAATTCAGCCATCCTTTTTTTTTTTTTTTTTTTTTTACCACCTTCTTTAGACGACAGAGAATTAATGGGTACCATTCTTATTAAAGAAAAAATACTCTGCCCTTTGTTCAGTGCTATAAATCTTAATGAAAGCCCGGCAGAAAAAAATAAATACATACAAACTACATAATCTATATGTTTTATGAGACAAGATCTGAATGCTTATAAACCACAATTTAGAGTTACTGATTTGTCATTTTCCCCAATTAGTGGTGAGACTTCACTTACTACTCCAGATTTAGGATTACATTCTAAAAATAGGTTTCAAATAGACATTTCTTTTTTTTTTTTTCCTAAATTTTCTTCTACTCTAACAGCAGGTAGTCAGCCAGGGTCAGCTATCACATCTTAAAAATTTTGGTACTATTTTAAATTCCATTTCTCTTTTATTCATTATAAGAATTCCAAAAACTTGGAGCCTGGCTGACAATTTCCTTGGTCACCCTAAAATGTTATTGCTTCTTAAAGCCTTTCCAGTCATCCTGGAAACATCAATATTCTTAATACCTTTTTGTTCTAAAAAATATCTTGCAATATAGCCAAGGAAAAGTGAATTTGGCAGAGTTTTTTAAAATGAACCTGTCATTTTCCAGAAGTAGTATTATTCATATAAATTAGCAGCAAGTGAGCAATGCTTAAATTAGCACAGCAGTTGGGCTTAGGTTTTCCCGCACTCATTTAGAGTCATTCATAATTATTACTTTGCACATCCAGCTCACCCTAATGGAGAAGCCATAGCTGCTGTAAAATCTGGTGGGCAAGGTTTCAAACAGAACGCAACCATCTGCTAACAAATTGTATCCAACAACAGTATTAGATGGTTCAAATCTTTCTGATAAATCACTTCAGCCCACTCTTCTCTTCAGTGGATGCTGTACCCAGAGGGCTGGGGGCAGGGGGAGTTTAGACATAGGAGAATTAGGAGAATTTGCTGTGAAATGACTTTGCTAGATGTATGTATATGCACAGAAGAAATTATTGATTAAAAAAACAAAGAAAAAATTGAATTGTGAATTATACCTTACTTAACTTTTGAGCACTATTGCACATATCTAACTCTGATTTTTCCCCTCTGCTCGTTGCTGTAGGGGTGATCAGCTCTTCATTTGCAAAACTCTTTCCTGAACGCTGTTTTATCAAGTCCCCTATGTAAGCAACCACCTAAATCAAACCTGTGTAACCACAAACCTTGATCAGAGGGGAACTGTGACCCAAGAAATGCAAGTAGGTGGAAGACAGATGAAGGGACTGAATTAAGGTTAAAGAAAGAGAGGGTGACGTCACATAGTGTAGGAGCACACCTATTAGACCAGGAGTCTGGAGGGGAAAGCTTTACCAGGTTGCTCAACTTTTAAGTTCTTTCTTTTCTGGTTTTATGGTAGGTATGCTCTGTGCTTAATAAACCATACTTGCCACAAATTAAGGGATATTTTGTTATTCTAGATGAAGTTCTGCTTTAAGTACAGCTCAGAATGGGGTAGGCTTTTCAGTAAGAAAAAAACTAAGCTGCTGGCATCAGTTTAATAATCCCTTTTCTGTTAGCCAAAAGGAGAAAATTATAAACAGTTCACCTTTTTAGGGCAGACTAGCAGCGGATGCACAGCAAGCCCATGCAGACTATATAAATAAGTCAGCAAAGATGTGACACAGTGCTAAAACTATGACTAAGACCATTTGGAAGAGAAACGTTCCTGTGGAAATGCATCCGCGTGATGAATGCAGTTCTGGGCACAGATTCCCCGTAACGTTAACAAGGAAAATGTCCTCTTCCATATATGGCTAAGCCAAGGCCTCTCCTAGAGCAAGCCGCCTGCCCTCCGACACACGCTAGCTTGCTTCCTTTACCTCCACTGCTTAATAGCTATTCCATCTGCTGAGTTTTGGAAATACTTGAGTAAAGACTTGCTAATTCGGATTAAATTCTGATTGTTCTTTAATGCAAGCAAAGCGATGTACATCCTCAGCCTCCAACCCTCCTCCTAACCGCCGCAGCAGCCTGGTCGCAACAGCGTCAAATACATTCTCTCGCAAGTCACTGGTTAGCACTGTGGACTGCCCTGCTGCAGATTTTTCTGTTAAGGGAATAAACCAAAACAAATGACGCCTAACTACATAAGACAGCCAAAGGAGGCCTTTGGAAACCATTGGTGGAGCTGGAACTAAACCCTGTGTCAGTATTCAACTACAGAAGATGGGAACAGAAAAGAACCCATTGTTACAAGAAATAAATGAATTTTTTTGCGCAATGTTTACATATTTTCTATTATACTTGTTCTCCACTTTTTAATTAAATCCTTGAAAAAGTGATTTCTTTCCCCCCTGAAAAAAAGCAGCTCAAAGTTTACAAAAGCTTGCCAAGAACTGAAATCTCTTTAACAAGTATATCACCATTTTGATATTTTTTAAAAGGCTGCAAATGGTATGCTGTTGAAAAACGGATTCAAAAATTATTTCTGCACATTTGTGAACTGTACTCTATTTTTGTTAAATATTTTAGAAAGACAAACATGGACATAACCTTGAATGTCTGGACTTTTTGCTTTCCAAGTTTTTTTTTGCTGTCTCTAAAAACAGTAATGTTTGAAGACAATTTTTCCTTTATAAAACCAGCTTTGATGGAAATCTCTGGAGCTTCCATTTTGAAATGAGAGGCTCACTAAGTGACAACAGGAAAAAGGAAGGATTAATTCTCCATAGTGAGACTGATTTTGAATTTGCAAATAAAATATTTAGCACCTTTGTATTCTGCTAATCATCAAGATATTTAGAATTTAAATTTATTACTCCACAGCACTAAAATTCTTTTGCAGCTTTTAAAATTTATTTATTAGCATCTGTGCGGAAAATTAACTGGGCAAATAGAATCAAGAAAAAACATTATGAATTACAGAAACATTAATTCCTTTGAAATCAAATATTGATGGCTATGCTGCTCTCCTCTCACCACTCTTCAGCTCAGCATTCAATCCACCTGAGACAGGCCACAGTTTATACCGATATTAAGGCAATGTTCACAAGAAGCTATCAGGCCACTGCAGTACTGCTGCACAAGGCCAAGCAGCTCAGGACTCCAGCATCCACCAAACCCACGTCAAACAAAGGAAAACACTACAAGGCATCTACCTCTGCTGTGCACTGAAGCGTGCCTTGCTGCGAAGCCTTCTATTGAAATCCATAACCACGCTTCAGACCATGGGGGAACATCTAAACATCCAGTAAGAGCTGAGTTGTGCAGAAGCCACCTTCTTGAGGCAATAACCAGACAGGCACCAAGGAGCACTGGAGCAGTGAAAAGAACTGGCTGAAACACTAATTCAACAAAGAAAGTGGCCAGTTTCAGCCATTTGGGTGCTTGTTCTTGGCATGGTGGAGGTGGTGAGATGAGGGAGGAGAAAAGGAGAACTGGGGGGGAAAAACAAAACAAAAAAAAGCAATGGATACTGTTTCTCAGCCACAGTCCATGGCTGTATGCTGGACTACAGTGGTCACAGTCAGCCCCCACCCCCAATCATCAAGGCTCTGGCTATAAAAAGAGCAGGAAGAGACATGTTTCTAAAATAAGCAGAATTAAATAGTCTCTGGAGACGCCTGTTTCAGAACTTGATGGCTACCCTGCTAAAAAAGTTCCTTCCTCCCTCATTCCAGAAGGTTTACTGGTTTTAGCTGAGGACCATGCTTTTCAGCATGAATTTAAGGGACTGGCAAGAAGAACCCCATTCACATGTCTGGAAAAAACAGAGAAAAAAGACACAGCGATTTTCTTAACTGGAGAAACCAAACAACCCTGGTGACATGGGACAGCAATTGCACAGACACTACATACCTCTAGCAACAACCCACACCTCTGGCAGCACTCCTGATCACCAGAACTCCCACAACAGACACTGCTAATTACAAATCCAAATTTGACTTGACACGCAACAACTCTGAGCATGTGCGCTTGTACAACAATTCACTGCAAAGCAGCAATTCGCCGTAAAACAAAGTGGTAAAATGGCATCCTGCTCCTCTGTCTTGACAGAAGTACATTGCTCAGAAAGGCACAGGCACAGAAATTAAAGCGTTTCACAACAAGGAGTTACTTTTGATTAAAATTTCCAAGTTTGTGGTGTAGATTTTCCAATGAATCTTAAATAGGTAGTTCTTAATTTGTGATGTTATCAGCTATCTTATTTACTTAATCAATGTAAATGTTACTGTAGTATTAAATTATAGAATCATAGAATGGCCTGGTTTGAAAAGAACCTTAAAAATCATCTAGTTTCAACACCCCTGCTGTGGGCAGGGTTGCCAACCACTAGAGCAGCCTGTCCAGTGCCCCATCCAGCCCGGTCTGCTCACACAGATCAAGAAACTGTGCCATACATTCTTCTTCATGGAAGCGGAGATTTGGGGTAAACACTGATGGTTGAAAAGCAAGAAATTTTAATCAAAGAAGCAAAACCTTAACTCACCCTGCAGAACTATTTGTCCCTGGATGTGGACCAGCCCTGTGACAGCTGCCCTTCACAGAGAAGCCCAGCTCCTGATCTTGCACCATCAGAGATGAGTTAGAGGAGTACCCCCATGCAGGGTAAGTGAACTTGATGGAAACAGTCAATATGGACAACAAAAGTGCAGTCTCAAGAGCAGGACTTTGCAGCAGCCCAATCCAAACAGAAATGCTACAATCAAGCCTGCCTCCAACAGCCTACCAACAGCATGGCTCATCAAGACCACGATCTTCTTTCTCCCCCGGCAACTTCACAGATGTTAACAGAGCAGGTTTTGAACTTCTTGCAGTAATATGGAAAGAATGGGACATTAACTCAGATTAATGTGCAAAATAAGAAATTCTTTAGCACCGAAACAGCTTTTACACACAAAAAAACACGTCACATCAAGACTGCTTACTCAAATAGTGCCCTGAAAACACTTTATGGAATAACTACTTCATCTACCATGATGCTACAGGATAAAAGAATCAGCAGTATTTCACACTGGACTTCATTTCTGTCTGTCAGTTATTATCTATAAATTAGTGGAATAAAACAAGCATCACCACCAAATACTCATGATAAGCACTTCCATGACCACCCTGTTTTAGTGGGGCATCATACGTTAAAATAATATATAGTAAACTCGTTAGGACCTATATTTTAACTACAAAGAGTTAAAATCTACAGGAAACTAACTTTCTGCTTAGGTTAGAGAGACAAGCTCCGCCGGTATGGTTACCCAAGGTTATCAGCCACAATTACGGTATGTCACTGGTTAGTTCAGAAGAACCCCCTGCAGGAGTGGGAGTCTAAAAAAATATGACAACACACATTTCTGCATGCCAGAAGCACAGGGAAACACATCACCATTCTGCAGATTCTGCATGGCAGAATCCATCACTACTCTGCCCTCCTCCTATGCTTAGCAAGACAGATGAACACACACAGTAATACAACTGGTTTGCTAAGACTCTCAGTTACAGTGCATTACTACCCATAGTTTATTCATATTTACAGCTCAAGAGCTCAAGTTGCTTAAAATTCCCAAAAAAGGATTGGATTCAATGGGAAAATCAATAAGCGTTAGGTTCCAAAATAGACTTGTGGGTCCGAAATCACTTCTGAAAATCCAGCGTGGGCACCTGCATCACATCGCCTCTTCATCTGAATACATGAAAATGTTCATGGGCAAGTATGAGCAGGCTGAGGCCACAGCTCATGAGAACAGATCTGGAAGGCTGTTCATGGTATTGGCTTGTGTCCCCAGGGTACGGGGTGTTTTGTTAGTTTATACAGGACACAGCTGCTTCAAGACAAAACAGCTGTATTCACAAGCACTCAAATGGTTTGACCATATTACTCCTTTTATATAGAATTTATTGATATTTGTTCCTGGATTTCACAAGAGCCCTCAACTTACTGACAGTTCTGAATAGTGGAATGAAAAGCAATTAGGTAGTTTTCTGAAAAGTATTTTTTGGTCTTGATTTGAATTACTGAGTGGAAACACATCCACCCAAGTTAGGTGCCTGGCTGCAGGGATGGGAGTGGTGGTAGAGATTTTTCCAGATAGAACACGTCAATTTCCTCTGTAATCAGGAAAAAAATAGAGGTACCAATTTCAGAACAATTGCAGACGATAGTGTTTTCTGATATTTGACATCTCTCTACCTTGAGAAAGATAAAACATGGTAGATCCCGTTGTGATAAAGTTCACATGACAGAAGGTGGCAATGGTTCCCAGATATTTTACAACACTGAATCTAGAAGTAAGATAATTGGGCTCCAGTCCCTCCTCAGCCCTAAAGGATTTGAATTCACATTTCCTGGGAATAGTCTATCAGCCTACAGGATATACTAATAAGAGCACTCTCTACCACTCTTATTAAGCCAAAGGTGCTATGCAACCAAGAATGAAAGGCATGGAAACAGAAAATGAGCTGATAAAGTTTTGACTCTTCTTTATCTACTGAAGCAATCAGATGGCGGGAGGCAGAAGATGTAAATGAAGTTCCAGACCCTGCTCCTCGTAATGTATGTATATAGATTTTACAGCATATTGTCTGTGGATAAAAACAAAGAGAGGCTCGGGATCATGATTCGGAGTATGACCTTTATTTCTTTCTCACCAAATGCCCTAACCTGTAGGAAACTGAAAGGAAACAGATGTTCACACTCAGACACATAAAAGAGCCTTGACTACAAATCTCCTGTATCATGCATGACCACTGTGATTAGTGCACACTGAGCTGAAATCCCTCTCTCATTGCAGACCTGACCAATCCGGCCCATATGGACTTCTCTCTGGATTTACAGTCAGTACTTATCCCCCAACAAGCAACTAAAGGCAGACAGGGAGCTTCTAGTAAGCAAGGAGAGACCCACCGAATTTAGACTTCTATGGAACACAGCAAACTTATTTAGGCAGCATAGATTACATACCATGTTTTATTTCATGGCACTGTATTTCTATACATGTTTTCATTAGCAAAATCCATTGAGAATTTCACTTAATGACAAACGCCTGTTAACAGGCTTCAAATCTAAATAATACTCATCACAAGCAAAAACAAGTTGCGTAGTAAAATACTAGCGCTGCTAAAGCTTACTCAATTCATCTTCTCATAACATATTTCTATTGAAGAAGTCACACAAGTCCAGATTTCATGCTGACAATGGCGACAGAAAGTAAAAGAACGAGAAAAGATGCTCAGGGACAATGTGAAGATGCTGCCACTGACAAAAAGCCTTCACCTGTGAAGTCAGCAAACCCCAAGCGCAACCTTGATCTCTTCCCTTTGTTCTAAAGCCTTTTAGAGTGCACTGCGGTGCGGGTAGGACTAACATTGGTCAGTGAGCACCACTTTTGAAGTAGGGACCTTTTTTATTATAGTATATGTACATGCCACCGTGCACAGAAGGTTTGTAATTCATGACTAGACCTCCTTAGTACTACCATGCCACCAATAATTACTAATTTAAGAACACCACTTTGCTGTATTAACCATCATTGTCCCTAGCTTGGTCCTAATGTGGACAAAGAGAATATTTGTGTAATGTTTTCTTGGCCTGTTGAAACATAATGTGATGCTTGAAAGGCAAGCAGTACTTAGAGCCCATGTAAACAACCAACCTGTGTACAATCACCACATACAGGAAACCCTTAAAGAGCCAAGTGAGGTGCTCTTTCTCATGAGAATAGTATTTTTTCCACACAGGCTTATTTAGATACTTTTACCAGGCTATTATCCACAGACGGCAATTTATAGGGTAAATTCTGACAAGTATTTTGAAAAACTAGACTAACAAACAGGTGTATTGTGCTTAATGTTCAACATTAAATTAGGAGAGAAATACTACTCTGCATATTCTCAAGCAGAGCAGGTAGAAGCCTGCAGTTACATCTAATTAAAACACCAGCAATATGCTTTCACTGTTTTTTACCTACAGCTTATACCTAGTTTCAACTAAAACATTTGCATCTTTTTCCGAAAAGACAGTTTGTAACTACTTATTGCTATTCTATACCTCTCAAACTATTGTGCTTACTAAAGTATTGAATAAAAAAGCAGAACACCCCACCACCACACACCTGTACTCCTCTCTTTTGCTAAGAAATCCCGTGTCAGTGCATCCTGCCTACAGAAAGGCAGGATTCCTACAAGGACATTATGAAGCTCCTTTAATTTTAAGCAAGGACAAAACAATAAAAGCTATTCATATGCTGCTTATGGTAGCATGCAAGCACACCACAAAGACAGCACTCCTCTAAGGCTAAACAGTTAACACACCAAGCCCATGGGTACCGATACTGTGGTTGAAACTATTTTCTGTATCTGCAGCAGCTTCTCTACATGTGCACCTTGAAAGCTTCCTCTTTAAGGATAAAGATATAATGAGGACATGTAAGTGTTAAGAACCAAAACATAAATTTTTTTGTCCCCTTCAAACCATCACTGTCAAAAATATCTGTTTTCCATACTCCTGCCAACTGAAGTTTCCAGTAGCTCAAGTCCATCACAGCCTTAAAGACTCAAAGCACCTTGTCTCCCTGAATTTGTAAAAATTCTGTTACCAGTGGGCATTTTCCCAAAACAAATATTTCAGGGTTTTCACTATTAGAAGCACATCTTTACACAATTGTGATTAAAACAAAGAAAGAAAAAAAAATCTCTCTTGTTGCATTACTTTTCAAGGGCTTCTAGACCCATCAGTCATTTTTGCCATAACTTGATTTATCCACTTGCTTAAATGTGACCTTTTTTTTTTTTTTTTCCGGGGGGGGGGGGGGTGGAGAGCGTAAATTGAATATTACCTTATCGACATAGGATAAATTTAGCTTTTCCATCTCTGACAGACTACAGTTAGGAACATCACATAACAATTCAAGCCATTCTAGTAGAAAATACGGGTGTCTGTTCCTTGTGGTAGTATTAAATTCCCACACACTCTGCAC